AAAGAAGCTCATTTGCCATGAATGATTTGTTACAACCAATTTGGAACGATTTATAAGACAGATTAAGTCTCCGCTTACGCGTTAATAGCGCGAAATATATCGCGCGTTAATTGTCCCAAATTGGTCAAAATGGCAACCTTTTAACCCCCGTAACTTTACGAAAAATGATCACAGGTAAATATCTTTTCAAATTTGAGCTCAGGACAACGATACCTTTCGAATGATATAAAAAATTCCGTCAAAAATGGCTAGTTAAAAAGTCGAAATTTGTCGGAAGAAAAAAAACCCACCCCGAGCACAAATATTCCGTCACTTTCGTATCGAAAGTCGGAACAACAAGCAATTGGCTTTGCTTTGATGTACTAGCAGACTGGCTTATTTTATGAAACTAATTCTCAAACTGTCGGATTGTGATAAAAATGACAAGCACGGTATTTGTCAAATTCCGAACACATTGGGTCGGAATACACGACCTATGCAAATTAATGGCTCATGTCGAGGAAAATCTGTTGTTGTCTTTGTTGTGGGTGGTAAAGGCGAATGTATAAAAGCCATTATTGATCTCATTATAAGGCGCAAGCTATCTTGTTTCCGTGCGTAGTAAACGAAAAAGTATGCAGTCAAAAACAAAGCCTATTGGACATTTGGAAAAACTCATGATACAAAAAAAAAAGAATTTAATATTGTTCAAAGAAAAATCATTTAGAAACAAAGTTCTTTAAATTTCAAAAATCATTTATGACAAAACTGTCACAAAAAAAACGTTTTTATTCCGCTGGGAAACTTAAAAGTCAAAACCAACTTAGGAATTCAAAAGATACTCGCCATTTTTTCCATGACATTTGCATTTTCATAATTGGAAAGCGTTATCTCACTGCATGATTTCGGCTGAACAACTGATTTCAGCTGAAAAAAACTGCAAAAAAAAAACAGATTTAAGCGTGATCAATTTTGAGGAATTTTTTTTGAAAAAACAGACACCACACGACCTGAATTGGTGTTTTTTCTTCATTGAAGCCAAATGATTTCTTCACAACATTCATTAAGACATCACAGTCCATAGAAGAAGTTTTAAAGCGCCGCCTGGAACTTTATCAAAAATGATCACAGAAAAGTACATGAATACATTTGAACTCCAGTCAGTATCTTTGTGGGGTTATTGAAAAACTTCCACTGGAAATTTTCATTTCGATCTCTACTTTGGTTTGAACAAAAAACACCTCGAGCCAGAAGCGGAACTAGGATTTTCTTGAGTGGGCGGATTTTCAAAATATTTTCGAAAATTTTGTGAACTTTTTTTAGGTCGACCAAATTGGTTTTCCGATTGGAAATTTACCGCAGCAGTACCTCCATTCAAGCAATTTGCTGAGAAATCTGTCATTGATAACATAGTCAACAGACGGTTGGAAAGAGTATAAGAAAGCAAGTTAACCGAAATGGCTGCCTTGTTATTTCGAACTTCCGAATTTCAAAGAACAACATAGCTGGCCTTAAGACTCTTTGAATTTCAAGAAAAAATGAGATCGCCGCTTTTTGATTAAACTAACCCAAATTGATAAAACTGGATCAATAGGTGAACTCATTATTCCGCTGGGAAATCTTAAAATTAAAGTTACTTACGAAGCTAGAAGTCGTTCACGATTATTGCATCATTTCCGCTTTCGTACTTGATTAATTAATTAAGATCATATATCCACGGGGGAAAGGACCAACACAAGAGCTGTACAGCTCATCACGGCGAACCGTTGTTGTGCCCCTGTTTAAGAACTACATGCAATTATTTTTTTTTGGTTATTTTTCTGGGCTGGGTAATGTTGCTTCACCCTCAAGCAACGAGCACGGATCATGGTGGGCCTCGAACATCCGACCTTTCGATTGAGAGGCGGAGACGTAACCACTTCACCACTTGGAGAGCGTAGTTTGCCTACCTTTCAGCAAGTCAATTTCAATTGAACTTACGAAGAAATCAATCGCCAAACCACATAAGATCAAATTTGGCGTGAAAATCATTCGACCTGTATAAGTGCCTTCATTACGTTCATTGACAATTTAAAAACCCAAAGAATTCATCAGAACTTATGTTCTGCAAAACCTAGAGTCAACTTTTTCAAATAAAAAAGTGACTTTTTCATTAAACAATATGTTTGATTATGACTTTTTGGGATAAACTATTAGAATTAAGCTAGTTTTAATAAAAACTAGCAGAGCAGCGTGTGAAGGTCGAAAAAACCAACACCCGTCCCGTAAGCTCATGTCATTTACTTTGCAGCTCCTGGTTGAGGCTCCATTCCGATATGCCAATTTTTATTCATAATTTAAATTAATCCAAAAACTATCAAAATGTTCAGATAAACAGTTCAGATTATAATCTAGCGCATTTTAAAAACACGTGTTTATATATTCATATAAGGTTCAATTGTAGCTTTAATCATGCATCATAATATACAAGAAGGATTGATATTGGAGTAATCAACGCCGAAATGCTTTGCAAAAATATTCCAGTACTTCTGACGATAAAATGTGAAAAAAAAACACTTTTGATGAGAAATATTAGTCAACCATTCAAAACGCTACCGGCCTTGATTATACATTAACACTACTCGAATAGCTGCTCAATATATGCATAAATTTAATGAATGTTTACTGAGTTATAAATAAGCCTTCTTCACTAGATCCAGGTTCTTATCACTTCATGAGTCTTTGGAAGCATATCAATGAAAGGTCCATTTCGATTGACTCTAATATATTTCATTAACATGATTAACAATTCGGTGAAGTGGCGATTCAGTGTTGCTGTTGTTGCTTTGACTTAGGAAACAGCTTCTGTCTAATCTCTGGCATCTTGGTATCCTTGACTGTTGCCAGTCGCGAATCCAGAGTGTTCACTACTCGGATGCGTCTACCCCTGGCCTCTACTGCTTCCACTCCGATCTGATCGTCTGGTAGGTAGTCGTTATTCGCTATTGTCACATTCACACTCCTCTTCGTGGCCTGCTTATACTTCTCAACCGCCTCGGGAACTACCTAGATGATTCGCAAAAATTTACTTTTTCGTACCCCCCAGTAAACAAATATTAAGAGTCACGAAAACAAGAGACAGAAAACTGACCTTTTGCGCAACAATCAGAAAAAAGTGGCAAAACTTTAATAACTGGAGCATAAAACCAAGATTTTGAAATGTTTGTGATGAAAGCTGAAAAAAATTTATAATTTGTTTGATTTGATCCAGAATTTTTTTAAGTAATCAGTTATTTTTGCATTTCAGGCAATAATTGAGTAATGGTGCTTGAAAAGAATTGAAGAATTTGCAAAGATTCTACGCAACGACATTGCTCGAAACAAACTGATGTTGTGTACTTGTTGGAGGAGGTTGACGTCATTGCGTCTGCACTTCAGTTCCACCTCGTTCTCAAGAAGCTGAAAAAGACACTGGGTCACCAGTCCCCGCATTATTTTAGCCAGCAAATTCGGGTCCTGTTGGGCTATCTTGGCTAGTCGCACCCGCGCCTCGTCTATAACCGCCCCTATGTGTTCCTCCCTACAACAACACAATCCACCCATAACTCAAAACAAATACAAATTTAAACAAGGATATCCGGTTACTGTGCAAGTAGCACAGAATGTTCCGACCACAGTCTTAAAAAAATACAAAAAGGTTTTCTCAAATTGTTGTCGTTTTTTTTCTGCATGCTGTGATAAAAAAATCTAAATCTAAATGATAAAAAAATCTTAAAAAAAATAGAGCTTAGGCCTATTTGAGAGTCTTAGTAAAATAGGTCAATTGGAAAACAGTTTTTGAAGAAAAATGACTAGAAAAACGAAAAAAAATTTTTGTAAAATTTGAAACTTAAGTTTTTGATTTCCAAAATTGCGCTAAAAAACTCCAAAAACTACCTTTTCTTCAGTAAAACTAAGTTTACACGGCTAAAAAGCTTAAACAATCCATTGCAATTATTATCTACCTTACTAATTAGCTCGAAATTAGACCAAAAATTTCAAACCGGTTTTTCTCGACAAAGTGAAATTTATTTTTAATTTTTTTAAATGTTCGAATCACAATTGAAAGGGCTTTAATATGATATATCACTAAACCCTGTCCGATGGTTATTTGTGATAGCCGATTTTGCGTGAAAAAAAACTAAAACCGAATTCAAAGTTCCTCCCTATTTTCAATGTACAGAACAAAAAGATATTTCAAAATACTAATACAGGGTTGAAGCGAAGCTCGTACCACCTACGAAATGTAGATTAAAGACACCGATGAAAAAAGAGTTGAACCAAAACATCGTTAAACTTTAACTGAAAGCGTGAGAACCTACATCACAAAAACTGAAAATTTTAAAAGAGGTCTTCTAAATTGTCCGATGTAGATGCAAATTGCTTAAATTTTTGTCAGAAAAATATAGATTTAATATACAAAACTAAATTACGAAAAAAAACTTGAATATGACAAAGTAATTTTTTTTTCAAATCAGACAAGACGTCATTAGCACTGGATTGAAATATCTTACATCATTGATAAATCAGGTCAAAACGAATGCCATTAAGTAAGCATAGAAGAAAATCCGATGAACAGTTTGGTGTTTAAAAAAAAGTATACGCCCTATTTCAAGATCCTTTCATACTTTCTTTCTGCGTTCTCCTGAAATACAGCCAAAATCAAATTCAAGAACATAGCCAACAGACAGTAGGAAAAGAGTCAATGAACGCTATTAAACAAAAAATATTGACTTGTAGTTTGATTGAAAAAATCTCAATATTCGAATTTCAAAAAATAATAAATGGCCTGGAAGCTCTTTGAATTACTGAAACAATTAATGATTTTTGATAATATTAACCCAATTTGAGAAAACTGGATCAATAGATAAATTTTTCAGTTCGATAAATGTTTTATTTGAAGCTCAATCTGCTTCAAATAAAACTTTATATATAGGCCCCAACTGTCTACGACATTTGAACTTTATTCTTTGCCGAACCTAATTGTGCCACATTTTTGACATGAATATGCCGCCAAATTAGTAAACTGAAAGACTCAAAACTCAAAAAGAAATCATTTAAAAGCAACAACAAAACTACGATTTGAAATTGGAATCGTAATCAACCAAAACGTATTGCCATTGTCATTGGCGCACAATAGTTTTTAAAACAAAGAAACCGAAACCAAGGTTTTTTTTTGTTTGAAAAATCAACGAACCCATCCTTATACTAACCAATCATATTGTTTACTTTTTTTTCCTTTTTTTTGGATTGTAAGTTCCAAAGAAAAAAAAACTCAAAATCATTTTTTTTGTTACAATACAATTGCGAGGGTTCCATGTAATCAAAGGAATTACATATTGGCCATTTAACATTTTTGTCTGACACGTTAAAACGTGAATTAAGTTTAGGAGACAAAGTCAATTAAAAATGAATTCAACCTATGGTGCTGTTTTTAAAGTCATAGAAACAGACGTAGAAATTTTAGCAAAAGCAATTAACCAAGCCATAAGCGATTCCGACGAAGTACAGATCATAAACGATTTCTTAACGGAATTTAAGAGCTTGCTTGACGATGCCAATAACGAAGCAGTCAAGATAATACGCACCGGGACGGACTAGCAAGACTCAATCATTGAACGATTGAAAACTTTGAAAGTTTTGTACCGAACGATCCAACTACGATCAAAACGATACGAGCGTACCCTTAACAACACTGCCACGTCTTCTTTAAACTCATCACGAGTAGCCAGCAACGTCTCGACGCCTTCAATAATACGACAAGCCTTGGAAAATCTTCCCCTTCGACGCCAAACGGAAAGTTTAACCCGTAGTACCACTACAGAAAACGTCACCATGGACCAGGACACCCCGGACAATTTGCCACAATTTTCAGGATTGCCAGCAATCTTCAACGCTACTTCAAACCACAGATCAAATTCCGCCCTGGACAATTCAGGACTCCTACTTCGCCCCGGATCTAACAGCGACGCCAATACCTTGGATCATCGCATTCATCAACAACAAACAGAAACTCTTGGAACTCAAACTGCTCATGGAACTCACCTCCATCCTCAGTCAAACCTCTCATTGCAGCAGCCGAACGTCGACTTGTCACAAAGTTCAAACCTTCAGCCGAACCACCCAGAAGCTCAACTTCAAGGAACGTCTATAGAATTGAACAATGGAACTCAACTCCATATCGAAAATCAGCAATTGACAGCAACAGTGGGACAAAGACCGAACTCAGAAGCTCAACTTCATGAAACGTCACCGCACTCCAACCCTGGAACTCAAATCCAAGTTTTCAATCAGCAGATGAACGCACCAGCAACCCAACAAAGAAATGTTTCAGCGCCAATATTTCTTCCGACAGCAACTTCAAAAGCAGCTCAGAGTCAAATGATTGGACAGCAAATCACACCCCCAATCCTTGCTCCCCAGACAGCTAGCACCCCACATGGACTATACCAGCCTTCAACAGAACCAGCCTCCAAGTCAGCAACAGAGGACACATAATCCGAATAGCGCCTTTAGACCCATCTTGACGATTGGAAATCAGAATTCAACCAATCATCCCCCCACCAACGTGTTCAGTGGACACCAGACGACAGCTAAGGGTATCACAAACATCAACGGAGTACCGATACCAGCACAACCAGCACTACTGCCAACAAACCAAGGAGATCAACGAACAGCAACAAATTGGACCTCCAGCCAGCCGACCATGACTCACCAATGTACACAACCTGCCATACGATCGTACCAGGAAGGATTTCTGGGAACCACGACAGCATACAACCCTACGAACATGCCGACATCATCAACAACAGCCTTCACTCATGCAGGCTGCAGGGGACCAACAGGAACAACTCACCCAAATATCAACCGACCTCCCCCTCATCAACATGCAGTCCATCAACATGCAGCACATCAACATGCAGCACATCAGAACCAGCCGACTTATTTTCCGATTCCGACCAACCTTGGAACAGCACCGACAGACCACAACCATCATCAAACGATCTCGAAGACATTCAGGAAATCAGTGCCCATTGTCAAACCATTCATATTCGACGGAGAACCTGAACAATGGTTAGATTGGATAGGACTGTTCAACGCAACCATCAACAGCACCGACATGACAAACTCGGAAAAGATTACACATCTGCAGAAACTTGTATCCGGAGATGCCAAATCTCTCATCCGAGGATATGGATGCAATGGAGCAATGTATGACGCAGCCCTTCAGCGACTGGAAAACGACTTTGGTAACCCGACGAAGATAGTTACATCCTTCCTTCGACGACTCGACGCCATCAGCGGCCCCAATCTACGACATATCAGAAGCTACAAGGACCTCGCCAACTTCCTACAGACAATGGTCGTCGATACATTCACGACACTTGGATTCCAGCACGATCTACACTCTACGACAAATGTCCAAACAGTTTTGTCAAAACTGCCTACCCCTTGCCGACTAGAATGGAATAGATACAATCTGCAATGCAACATCAGACAACCATCACTCATCGACCTCACCAATTGGTTCAACATCTACGCTGAAGCATGCAGCGAGTTGCCGAGCAACAACAACAACACCAAAAACAGCAGCAGCAGCAACAACTACAACAGCAGCAACACTCAAGGATCATCATCCAACGGTCACACTCACCAACATGGACCATCGGATCACCGCGCCAATCAGCACAACCGGAACCAGCAACGCAGCCAGCTGCAACATAAATCTGGACAAAAAGATCAACGACGAGATTTTTGCCCGGAGAAACGCAATTGCCAGTACCTTGGAAAATGCCAACACTTCATCGCAATGAACCCAAAGGACAGATTACAGCATGCCAGGGACCTACAACTATGTTTCAACTGCCTCACCCCCACAAGTTCGCCGACTGTCAATCAACGCAAACATGCCGGACGGACGGATGCAGCAAGAAACACTACAAACTTCTGCACAACAGCAGCACCTACAACTCGACGACAGAGGGAGACAGCCAACCGGAACTCCAGACAACATGACGACACCACCAAATGCAGCACCAGCATAAGCAGAAGGAAATCGACTCGCCACATTCCGACCCTGCCAATAACGATCTCTCATGGCAAACATAGAGTTCATGCCTATGCAATGCTTGATTGTGGAAGCAAACTGACGTTGCTTAAATCATCAATCGCCCTCCAACTCAAACCAGATCTGCAATTAGACGACACCATCCAGCTAAACCAAGCACTGACATCATCAGACACAGCTTCTACAAAGATGACGATCGCGATTGGACCCTACAACCAGCAAAAGCAGCCATTTCAACTAAATGACATCGACGTCATAATGGATTGGAACCTTTCCCAATTCAACCCTGAACTCGTCAACTCCATCTGCCAAAGGAACGAGCCACTTCAACACATTCGGATAACCACACTGCCCTCGAAAGAAATCGGAATCATCATTGGATGCGATTTCGCCGAACTCGTGACACCTTCAGAAGTAATCCATTCAAAACAAAATGTGCCTATTGGATGGAAAACGCCACTTGGATGGTCTCTCTGTGGACGAGACAATGCAGCGACACCCAACGACATCAACACAATCAACTTCACGACAGACGATACACTGTTTCGCCACGTAGCTGAATGGATGAAATTGGACGCCGAAGGGATTTCAACTGACCAACGCAGCCTCTCAACAGACGACAAGGAAGCTCTCCGCATTTTGGAATCTTCAACCGCTTGCCCAATGGACACTACGAAGTTGGAATGCTTTGGAAACGTGGACAACAACTGCCAAACAATAGATGGCTTGCCAAGAAGCAGCTCGACAGCCTTCTCCAAAGACTGAAGAGAAACACCGAGATGGCACAGAAATATCAGGAGACCATCGACACCGACTTGCAGAAAGGTTTCATAGTCAAAGTTGATGATTCCCATGAAGACTCAACAGGAAAATGGTACCTTCCTCATCATCCAGTGACAAACATCAATAAACCTGGCAAGGTACGCCGAGTCCTTAATTCATCGAGCATCTACAAAGGAGTATCACTCAACAGCAACCTACTAACTGGACCAGACCTCCTCACAAACCTTACTGGAATCGTTATGCGATTTCGCGAGGACCAAATCGCTATTTCTGCCGACATTGAAGCAATGTTCATGCAGGTCTTCGTGAGCCCAGAGGACCAGCCGTATTTGCGATTTCTGTGGAAGGACAACACGGGCCAACCCGCAACCTTCCAATACACCCGCCACATCTTCGGAGCTACCGACTCACCATGTGTTGCCTGCTACGCCACTCGACAATGTGCGAAGGACAATGCCGACAAATATCCAGCCTTGGAGCAAATCACAAAACGCAACATATACATGGATGACCTATACAAAGCCGTTTCAACACCGACGGAAGCGACACAGTTAATGAACGACCTTCAAAAGATGTTCAGCCTTGGAGGTTTCAACCTCACAAAATGGACCTCAAACTCTCAACAATTCCTCACAACAGTCAACGAGAACTACTTGGAAAACAGCGACAGCCTCACCAAGAAGGAACGACCCCTCGAAAGAGTTCTTGAAGTGAAATGGAAACCAGACACGGACGTCTTTCTTGTGGAAGCAAAGAAGTTTCACGCCATTGACAAGAAGGACTTAACGCAGCGCAAACTGTTGAAGTTTGCTTCTTCAATATTTGACCCGCTTGGAATTACGATGCCGCTGACAATTCGACTACGACAATCACTTCAACTTGCCTGGAGTAATGGACCTCAATGGGACAAACCTCTAAACATGGAGCATTTAACAGACCTCAACGATTGGATAGACAAGCGAAGCCAATTCAACATCTGCCTGCCCCGGATTTACTTCAAACCAGAAACGAAGATACTGGAAACCCAACTCCATGTATTCAGCGACGCCTCTGAACTTGCCTTAGCATCAGTTGCTTACCTCAGAATCAGATACGACGACGACACAACGGAACTCAAGTTCGTCATTGGAAAAGCCCGAGTAGCACCCATCAGCAGAATGACAATTCCAAATCTCGAGCTTCAAGCCACCACTAACGGAGCTAAACTGTCTCGTTTCATCAAAGAACAACATGACACACGAATCGACAGTACGACACTATGGACAGATAGTACAACAGTTCTTCATTGGATAAACTCGCCGAATCAACGAAACCGGATCTTCATTGCCAACCGCCTGAATTTCATCATGGACTCAACATCTCCACTGGAAAGGAGATACGTGCCCAGCAAAGACAACCCTGCAGACGACGGAACACGTGGTTACAAAGCATGTGACATGACTACCGATTCACGATGGATCAAAGGACCAGACTTCTTGTTGAGACCATCATCAGATTGGCCTAATCACCCGCCAACACAACCTACAGCCGATAGTCATCTGACAGACAACGACCCACAACCGCCAACATCAGTAATCGACTTCAACCGATTTAGCACTTGGACAAGAGCACTCAGAGTTACTTCATATGTTCTTCTCTTCGCAGAAAACATCAAAAAGAAGACACGCCAAAGCCTCTCACTTCAACACCTCACCTTAGGATTCGCATGGATCATTAAACACTCACAGAATCAATCATTCCCCAAGGAAATAGCATGCCTGACAAAGAAATCTGACATTTCACCCCGCAGCCCTCTACAACCTCTTTGCCCCTTCATCGACGATCACGGATACTTACGTGCCAAAGGACGACTACAGAAAGCCCCGCTTCTACTTTGCAGCCGACATCCAGTCATTCTGAACGCAGAAAACTACCCAATACAACTCTTCATGAAGCAAACACACGAAATAAATTCCCATTGTGGAATGGAACACACCCGAAGCATTCTTCAGCAGGACTTTTGGATCATAAGATCACGCAAGCATCTGAAGAAAACTATTCGACAATGCATACCTTGCCGACGCCTTCGACAGGAACCAGTGAAGCCTCTGATGGCAGATCTACCCCTACAACGACTCCCTTTATCGGAAAACAGTTACCCCTTCTACTCAACAGGAATTGACTTCTTTGGACCCTTTGCCACGCGGAACAACGACGAGTACAGTAAGCGATACGTTCTCTTCTTCACCTGCCTCGTCACGCGAGCAGTTCATTCAGAAATATGCCAGCAAATTGACACAAACTCAACTCTACAAGCCATACGCCGTTTCATCGCTAGACGCGGTAAACCCAGGATCATCTCTGACAACGGAAAAGCCTTCGTTGCAGCTGACAAGGAATTACAGGAAAGCCTTTCTGAGATTCAACACAGCAACGACTTCAACAATCAATGCCAATTACTTGGAATAACCTGGAAGTTCAACCCACCTGCAGCTCCTCACTTTGGTGGATCATGGGAACGCCTCATAAAAACATTTAAGATTGCCTTCTACAAAGTCATTGGAACACGGGCACTGGACGACGAAACTCTGTCAACCTTCACGTGCGAGGTTGAAGCTATGATGAATTCTCGCCCGCTAACCCACGTCTCATCAGACCCAACCGACGACGAGCCCCTTACACCCAATCACCTTCTACTAGGACGACCAACAAACAATTTGCCTCCCGGATTGTTTCTCCCTCGCCACACAACGGACAAGAAAACTTGGAAACAAGCTCAAGCCTTGAGTCAACAGTTCTGGAACAGATACCTCAAAGACTACTTGCCAACCTTGACAACCCGAACGAAATGGACAAAGCAAGTGGAAAATCTTCAGCAAGGAGACCTTGTATGGATACTGGAAGACCTAACGCCTCGAGGTCTTTGGCCCCTGGGACGGGTACTTCGTACGCGAAATTAAAACTAGCAGGGGGATTCTACACCGACCAGCAGTCAAACTCTCGCGAGTATTGGACCACAGTAACAACTAGATGACCAACATGATCAACGACAGCTAACAACTAGATGACCATTACAATCAACGACGACGTACCATCAGCTTCAACGAACAATTTTCTAATTTGCAACCTGCAAATGGGCCCGGCTATGTCTACGACATTTGAACTTTATTCTTTGCCGAACCTAATTTTGCCACATTTTTGACATGAATATGCCGCCAAATTAGTAAACTGAAAGACTCAAAACTCAAAAATCAATCATTTAAAAGCAACAACAAAACTACGATTTGAAATTGGAATCTTAATCACCCAAAACGTATTGCCATTGTCACCAACAAAGTAAAACTAATAAAATTAATTGTGTAAAAAAGTGAAACGAAAATTGGGTTGAATTTTTTTTCGAAATTTACACATTTCAAAAAAATAAAGAGCTTCAACGTCAGCATCATCTTCAAGATTCTTTTTCAATCAAAACTCTTTTCGTAAAACTAGTCCAATTAAAGAAAACTGGATGAAGAAGTGTTTTTATTACCCTGGGAAATCTAAAAAATGAAATCCACTTTCGAAATTAGAAGCCATTCAAATTTTTCGTGTCATTTGCACGTTCGAAATCAGAGAGCGTGATTTTCTTCCTTTCAGCAAAGGAAAATGAATTAAAATGAAACTGCGAAAAATCAAATTTGATCGTGGAAAAAATGGCCAAATCTTTTAATAAAAAACACAACATACAAGTGATAAATCACTTCGTTCAATAACTTATAAAAAAACTACTGCTGATACCTTAAAAGGCAATCGGAACATTCAGAGCTTTCAGACCCTGATACGAGCAGTCTCGTGCTTTAACAATGTAGGTTTAGGCTTTAAACTGAATGCATACCTACGGGATCCTTTATACAGGGACACAAATTTTGGTAGTCAGAAATTCATTTGTATTCTTTGTTGTTTGCTCATGAAGACACCAATCGATGAACAGCTAACTGGCCTTTCTGGCGTTCTTCTAAGATCGGATTTTTTCTATTATTGAGACGTTATGAACATCATAATCGAGTATGTTCCCTTCTTGGAAAAGAATTTATTACGATTACAATAGATAAAAGCCGTCCCATTATTGCCTTTGTATATCCACCCACCTGTGTTTGAGGACTTTGAGTCTCTGCTGGTTGATCTGAGTGGAGATGTGGATCTTCCTCTGCAGCTCAATCTGCTTCAGCTTCTTCTCCTTCTCCGCGTCCAGTCTAGTCTTGGCTACATTTATCATCCTATTCTTTTCCAGATTGTAGTCCGCAATAGCCTAAACAACACCGAGGGGTTTTAAATGATCGATTAAGATATTATTGTCGGTGAAAAAAATATGTATTTACTCTAAATGGTCGTTGAATAGAATCTCTATTATCTTCGATTGTACTTTCGTGAAAAAAAAAACAACAGTATGCAAACAACCAGAATCAGAGGCCAGGGGCCCCTCCAAAAAATTAACCGGATACTCGAATTAAAAATCAACTAACGTTTAACGCGCCTCATCGCATTTATTGGAAATAAGATCTACATCCTTTGAGTGTACTTTGACAGCACCCAATTACCGGGTTGGTAATTTCGAATTTTGTAAATTTTTTTAATGAAATTTTGAAAACCATAAAATTTTGTAGTTTTTTAATAAAATTTTGTGAAGTTTTATAGTTCTTTGAAAAATTTTAAAATGACCTAAGAAATGTAACATCTCGGAACTAAAAGCAATTGAGCAGTCGCATTTGCGACTACTGAAGAGTACTATCACGGTACTCAATTACAGCGTTGGGAATTTCAAATTTTGAGAAACTTCAAATTAATTTTATTTCAAAAACTTTATTTGAAAAACCATAAAAAACGTCATATCTCTTAAACTACAAAGATTTGAGCAGTCACATTTGGAGACAAAATTCGCAACCCCTGAGAGTACTATGACAGCCCCCAGCTACAATGTTGGGAATACCAAATTTTGAAGAAAAAAATTAAATTAGCGAAAATTGCAACTCCTGAGAGTACCTCCACAGAGTCGCCTTATAGAGATAGGAACTTCAAATTTTGTGACATTTTTATCTGATTTCTTTGAACAATTTTAAAAAAGACATAAAAAACGTCATTATCTCGAAAACTAAGAGCATTTGAGCAGTCGAATTTGGACGCAAGGTTTGCAACTTGGAACGCTTGAGAGTAGCTCACAGTACCTAACTGCAAGGTTGGGCATTTCAAATCTTTTCAATTTTCCAAAATCAGTTTTTTGCAAAATAAAAAAAGAAATCATAAAATACGTCATATCTCAAAAACAAAACTAAAAAGTTTTGAGCAATCAAAATTGGAGGCAAGATTGCCCATTCTTGACAGTACTCTGACAGCACCCAACTACAGGGTTGGGAATTTCAGTTTCGTGAATTATTTTGTAATTTGAGTTTTCTGAAAATTTGTGAACAAAACCACAGAAATCGTCATATCTCGTAAACTAAAAAGATTTGGGCATTCATAATTGGAGGTCAAATTCAACCCCTGGGGAAACCCTGATAGCATCCAATTATTTGGCTGCTTATTTTTTAACTCGGTAAAATAAACACTAAATTCAAACTGGAAAATCGAAAAAAATCTTAACCATTGAAAAATACGGCAAAGCTTAAAAAAGAGCAGGCCGAGTGGGTTAGGCAAAGGTCTCTCAACACGAGGTTCATGGGTTCGAATCCCACTGCGGTCACGGTTGGAGGGGTCCCAGTATCATCCGCCTCCTCAAGGTGGGACAGGCTGCGGCAAAATGGATGACAGTACCCTCCCCTATTGTTGGTCCTGCAATGAGCAGGACCGGGGGCCAATTAAAAAAAACAAAGCTTAAACGTGAACAAATTCTTTCGTTAAAAATGCAAAAATAGCACATTGAAAAAGCTTACAGGTAGCAAGCTAGTGAAGCCCGCAAATAAATACATAATGGATCACAAGTTTCCAAAACTGACACCTTTTATACAGAAAAAGCGCAAGGAGTGGTGACAAAAAAAGCATTATGTACCTTTCTTAGAAACAAAAAATCAATCGATAGTAGCAAAGAATAGATATATATTGTTTTGCTTTTATCTTAGATTATCGATTATCTTTCCATCTTTCCAAACCCCTGGCCACACAAACCGTAATGCACGATTTCGAAAAAGTAACAGATATACTTGATTTTTGGATGCTGCCTTGGATTCAGTGTTTCAATAAGCTGATTGATTATCATAACCCCTACCTTAACGCCAACTCGAACCCCAAAGGTTCAAAGGCAACCGATTTACCTCTACACCAGGTGGGAAGCAGAATAGACGTAGTTAAGGTTAAGTTCAACTTCAAACAGATTTACGGAAGTTATTTACAGAAAAAATCTAGTCACCGATTACACGACACTTGCTCTAACAAGTGTGATAAGAACACAGCTAAAATGAAAAACAAAAAAAGAATAATTTGGGGATATTCATGAAACGCTGCAGAAAATTCGCAATCGGCCAGGAAAAAATGGCAGCTTTCCTTATTTTTTATTCATTTTGTCACAAGACTTAATAACAAAATGTAAGAGTCTTTTAACCTATAGCGGATCTAAAAATTCATCGAGGGGAAGCCAGTTCTTTTTTCAGGTCGACCAAATTGATTTTCCGAACGCACCCAGAACACTATAAAGACCCAATATTGACATTTTTGACATAGGCGAAGCTGCGCTTCGCAAACACTAGCGAGAACACAAGAAAGCAGCTCTATAAGTAAAATAAAAAGAGAAAGAAGCCTCGAATTAGTTAAAACTCTGCTACGTGCCGGATTCAGTCCTGCGACCTAGAGATTATACGTTTCAAGCAGTAACCACTCAGCGAGGGACGCTCAGCATTTCCCAAACACAACACAAATAAAACAGATGCTACGAAATTTCCAATGCTACAGATTGTGATTATAGCAAAAGCGCCACCAAATGAGCACTTTTATTATCGAGTTAGGTTGAAAAAAAAAAGAAGTTTCGTACTAATACACAAAGATCACGGGGTAAAAAATAAATTAATAATGCCGTTTTGGGACACTTTATGAAAAAACTTGGCCAAAAAATTGCGTTTTTTTTTCGGCGCACTACTCTTCAAAGTCAAAATTAGTTTATATTGGCGTATATATGGAGAAAAACTTTAGGGTCAGTCGATCGAAACTTGATGTCACAAAACAATATCAAAGAGGGTACCCTTTGGTTGGTGGGTACAAACCTTTTGAGTAATTTCGTTAGCCTTTTCCTTGGCGTCCTGTTGAATAAACGCTACCATCTGCGAAATCTGTTTCTGCACATCTTGGTCCGAGAGAGTCATTATTGCAGGCGGGGTTAAATTTATTTCACGCTATGTACTATCTGAAAATTAAATCGATGTTTGAGATTGAGAAAAAAAAGCAGAATATTTCCCTCGTAATTGATTTAAATTAACAAATGATGATTTAGCTCGGAAGGATTTTCAAAACTGCAGACGCCAAAGTATAAAAGCTCAGCCCCTCGCCTCCGTTTCACAGCAAAAATATTTGAATCGGAATATAGCCTGATAAATGACGAATACAGTATTGTTCTAATCTGTTTGTAAATCCAATCAAGAGATAAAATCAATCATGAGCTGAATTAGCTCATCAAATAATATATATAATTCTGTTATTTGATTACATCAATCTGAACTGCCAAGTTTTGAGTCATCAAATTTATGTTGAAACAGTGCCATTTCATTTAGAAATGGGTTATGAGAAAAATTATATCTCAAAAACACTTTGGTATTTGGATCAAATATCGCCCAGTTCAAAGTTATTATTCCGAATACCGAAAGTGATAAAAAGTTTTATGCTATTTTCCAGGTTCATAAACTTCAGGTGAGCTCGACAGAGGAATTGTATATCAGTGGTAGTTCCAGCTCTATTGGAGATTTTCGATGTCAACAACTGATCAGAACTTTTCACTTTCAAGAGCGAGGACAGGACGTCTAATCACAAACGTCTCCTTCTCCCCTCGGCGAAAGAAAAACACCAAAGACTTTTTCTAATTCAGTTAGGAAAGGGTTTCATAAGAGCTCGAAAACACTAATTGTAGATCTTTAAAGGTCTAACACTTTTGCATCGACTGTGAAGTGGCCTGGAACTCCCCCTCCATTACTCTTTATTGTTCCCACTTTCGAAACCAAGTAACGGAATATTTGTGTTCGGGGTGGGTTTTTTTTCTTCAGATAAATTTCGACTTTTTAACTAGCCATTTTTGACCAAATTTTTATATAACATTCAAAATTTATTGTTGTCCTGAGTTAAATTTGAAAAGATATTTCACCTGCGATCTTTTTACATAAAGTTATGGGGGTTTAAAGATTGCCATTTTGTTCAATTTGGGACAATTAACGCGCGATATATTTCGCGCTACAGTGCTGATTTAAATTATCCGGACAAAACGAACAAAACTTGAATTTTCAAACGCGTTTTTCTCAAATCGGGTTAGGATTAGACAAAAAGTGAAGAGAACAAAAGTTGCTTAGAATTTCACCAGAATTAATATGATGCCATTTTTTCTCCGAAATTCTCAACAAAAAATTTACCCCAAAAATGGGTCATTTTGGCTTTTTTCAATTAATCAAGAATTACGCTGAAACTACTTTGTTAATTGATAAAAAAATTATATCACAGGAAGCCTCTTACGCAGCTCAACAAAGTTTAAGAAGGGTTAAATCTCCAAAAACCAGTATAAGAGAAAAAATTTTCACTTGATAGTCAATAAATGTGATTTTTACTATATAAAACCCAGAATTTCTGTTTAAAAATAAATTTTAAACAATTTGCGCAAATTTTGAAAATTTAACCCTTCTTAAACTTTGTTGAGCTGCGTAAGAGGCTTCCTGTGATATAATTTTTTTATCAATTAACAAAGTAGTTTCAGCGTAATTCTTGATTAATTGAAAAAAGCCAAAATGACCCATTTTTGGGGTAAATTTTTTGTTGAGAATTTCGGAGAAAAAATGGCATCATATTAATTCTGGTGAAATTCTAAGCAACTTTTGTCCTCTTCAGTTTTTGTCTAATCTTAACCCAATTTGAGAAAAACGCATTTGAAAATTCAAGTTTTGTTCGTTTCGTCCGGATAATTTAAATCAGCACTGTATTAACGCGTAAGCGGAGATTTAATCCCTCTTAGAAATCGTTCCAGATTGGTTGAAACAAGCTATTTGCCGCAATTGATATGTTACAAGGAGCGAAATTTATCACTTTGTACTTTATATGGCGTAAGGGGGATGATTTTCACAAAAAATTTTACAAATTTTTTTTGATTTTATGTTCTTTGTTTTACATTTTGTCATCAAAATGTTTTTTTTATTTAGTTTTTTCATGTTACTACTGCTCCATAGACCTCAAACGGCAGTTGGAAAATCCAAGATTTCACCCTGATACGAGCAGTCTTGTATTTCTTGTTTTGGAACAAAATTGGCCGAGATAAAAACCGGATTTAACTAACATATTTCGCCAGTTAAAAAGACCACGAACAGAAACAACGCACAAATTTACATCGCCAAACTCGCAAAAATTACATTACTTGTAGACCCGCGCCGGCAACGGTTTGAAGTCTTAAAAAAGCAGAGTGAAAATGCAGTTCATAAAAAGTAATTTAAAAAGTAAATCATCATCAAGTTGACCGCTTTGAAACAGAGAATAAATTTTCTAGCACAGAGCACGTTCCAATTTGTTCAGTAAGAAAATTACGATGCGTTCATGCTTCTTCAAATACCACAGATAACTACTAATTGAACTAAGATGCGCTGTAGTCACACACACATGATTTACGTTTTAAATCAATCACAAAAAAAATTGAATCGCTAAAACAATTAAATAACAAAACTATCTCTTTTTGTCAATAAATTATTGCCTTACAAGGTAAGTTATTTTACAAGGTAATTTAGAGGTAGGCTTAAGAGATTGTGTGTTTTCGGGAGAAAAACTGTAAGGTACGAAACTATAATCTAGAAAATACAGGAAGATACATATTTGATAAACCTAAATAAAAAATCTGTATCATTCTTTACATAACACACAGTAACTTACAATTAAAAAAAGATAATTTTTTCTATGGTGAAAAAAGCGCGATGAAAAAAGAAAGAACCGTGCCTGGCCCTGGTAGGCGAATGCGCAGTAATATAAAATCCATGTTATCTTCACTTGATATTCTTTCTCAATCTTTAGGAGCTCAACGTCGCACCTCCTCAACACTTCGAACGTCTTCAACTGCAGTTGTGATACTGGTTTCGGAGGAGTTATATCCGATCGGCAGCTCCAATTCTTTCAAGAAAACCAAATTGAATCCCACTGAGCAGATTATTTTTTAACCAAGGAGTGATAATTAGAAAAGATGGTTTGTTTGAAGTGCAAGCAGGGCGGAGTGCTTTTCATGTGCAAGATATGCATGCAGGAAACGTGCAAGAAGTGTGAACAATGGGATGGAGGCGCAAAGTCCGCATGCCCCAAATGCTTCGAGGAAAATTCCATGGTCCTCAAGGTCAGCACTGCTCTCTTCACCTCAATTTTTCCCATTTTCTAAGTGCTACTTTAATTTCCTTGGTACCCCAAATTAAAAATTCGTTGACCACAAATACACAACGAAATGCTCAAGCTTATGCAACTATCCTCGTCAAACAATTGATCTAAGACCTTAATGTTGACATTTGCTTTGTATTTAAGGCTAATTTAAAGCACGGGAAAACGACGAAGAGAGTGAACCAGAAATTAGCACTTGCCGCTGCATTCTCAAAATGACCCATTGCGCCCCCAGACAGCAATTTGGCATGACTAATTCGAGACTGTTAGCAGATGAAACTCACGCACGTGTACAATACATAAAACTGACTCGCTATTGAACAGTTGCTTCAATGTGTTCTGATATAGATTAGTTTTTATTCTGATAAAACCATTCATTATTTGATAAAAAAATTTTGCATAAAAGCTCCAAAAATCCAAATTTTAAACACAGAGGCGAAGCTTCTTTAGAAAAACTAGCGAGAACACGACAAAAGGCAGCACTAGAATGCGCAAGAGAAAAAAAAGAGTCTCGAATTAGCAAATTTCGGCTAGATCTAGGATTCGATCTGCGACCTACTGCAATCTAGAGATTTCGAGTCTAACACACTAACCACTCAGCCACGCACGCTTAACCACCGACAAACACTAGTCACGAATAAAGAAAGCAGCTACATGTGCTAATAAATTGCCAATGCCATTCAGCAAAAATGGCACCAAATACAAATAGACACAATTTTGCAAGTAATAATTTGGAATATAACAAATTGAAGGCATCCATACTAACTTGTAACTCCATACTACATGTAACAAATCGGAAAGCATAAAGCCATATTATGTAAAAACTATGGATTTCAAAAAAACTTTCAAAGATATATTGAGTTAGAAAATTTCTGAAATCGACTTTTCATTATTTTCATGTTGTTTGAAACGAATAGCTTTTTTGGGTTCATTTGATGAATTTTAAATGCATCAACTTTGTTAACTTACTACTGTTCGAATGTCAATGCACATGCTATCAAAAAGCGGTAAAGCTGCCTCAAAAGTGGCACCAATATTTGCGACTTAGGTTATAGAAAAAAAAGAAGGTTCGTAATAATACACTAAGCTGACGCAGGTGTAAAAACATAACCGGATCTAGGAAAATTTCAAGTCTTGCTGTTCTCAAAATATTTTGACGACCCTCCGATTCAGAAGCCATTTCACGCCAGGAAAACACTGTCATTCAAAAACTGAAGAACCCAGCAGAGCAATTGCTAGTCAGCTATTCATAAAACTAACTCCTATAATCGACCCTTTTAAACCTATCAGCTGAATTTCACGTCAGTGAATTTTGAGCTAGCAAGACTCTTCCACAATATCTTGCTTTGAACATATTACTTTGCGATATTGCTTCAAGCATGACAAAGAAAGAAACTCATTAAGTATATCAATATTGACTAGGTGCCTTTTTGATCTCTTTAAATTATCTACTTTTACTCACCACGCACGACTGGCTGAGCTTCGAATAATCGGGTAGTGTGAAGGGAGACCAATGAACCGACGCAAGCTTCGTCTATGAACTATTTGCCCCAAAAGTTCAATTAAAAGTGCGTATCAAAGTGCGTATAAAAGTATCACCGTTGTTCATCTTAGTTTCCTTGACTTTTTTGAAACATATTTCCTCCCAGTGCACACTGTTCAGGTCGTCTGAAGGAAGGAACATTTTAGAGGCGAAGCAGACATTCGCACCACTTTTGATAGCACACAAAGATAACATTAAAAGCGGACACTAGCGGACCTTAATGAGAAGAGTCAATTAAAAAAACTGGTCGAAACACTACATCTAGAAAAACTATTTACAATACTTGGGTAAACGCTAGTTGAACCAAAAGCAAAATGGTTGCCATGAAAACATTTGAACAAAAAAATTTTGAAACTCTCCCCAACGGGAAGCCCAAAAACCTAGTATTCCTTCAAACAACGCAATAGTAACTGAATAAGCCGATTTAATATATGCCGGAAGCATTTCAGCCAAGCTAACCTTTTAAGCAAAAAAGAAAAGAAATTATACTACATAAGGGCTAGTAAAATTACAGAATTAAGTCATATGATTCAATGATTCTGTAAAAACTAGGAAAAACTATATTCGCATAAGCACCAGAGATTTTTACTTCTCGAACACTAAGCTACCTATCAGGAGGAACAATATGTTCCTCATTGGAAAGCTGAAAAAACCCCAATTGCATAACCGCAACTCTAACTGAATCGAAGCGCAAGAGATATGTTATTAACCACTTTATAACGCGAGAAAGTTAACGTTAAATAACCCCCCTTTTACAAACCAAAAATCAAAAGCTTAAAAAATTAAATACACTTCACTTCATCTTGAACTTCAATGCAAAAAAGATTTTAAAAAATTTGACAAAACTTAAAGAAAAAGATTTCAGAACTTCAAAAATAATACAAATCAGTTTGGGTATTACAATGCTGTCATTCTCTCCAAAAAATCAAGCTTCGCAAGATAATTCGATCTGAAAATCCTTGAGCAATCTATCGGCTCATACAAGAGCAAGAAAATAAAAACATCATTGAGAATTGAAAACAAATGCCCTATATAGAGAAGGAACTAAAGGTCTCGAGCATCCAAGTCGGCCGCCCCACTGTGCTACTGACACTTAAAGAAACTGTGCTACTGACACTTAAAGAAACAAAACACTAATAAAGCGCAAAAGCGGATAATGCTATTGAATAGTCAAAACTAAGCAGAAAAAGTGCCAAAAATTAGCTTTATTCAGGTCAAGTTGAATTGCTAAAACAAGTTGATTCGTAAAATAACATGCGATCGCAAGTTCGCATGTTTAATTATGAGGCAAAATTCGTGACTAAAACTAAGAAAAGTGATTGACCTGAAAAAAGACTTGATTTTATAACACTTGTTATCGCACATGCAAAAAAGGGTCTCAGTGTTCATAAAAACTTTAAAAAAGGACATTTGAGAATTTTTTTTGATTATATCTCATATCTACCTCATTAAAAAGAGTATCACAGATGCGAGATAAAAGGCAAGCACATCATTGCAAGCTAGCGAACAGAAAATGAGACGAAAATGACAAAATCGAAATAAATTTGTACCGAGAACAAGTGGGTAGACGTCCATTGAACCTAAAACAAAAAAATATAAAAAAAAATTGTAGCCAAACATATAACGACCAAATTTTAGGTCGACCAAATTGAATTGCTGAGCGATCCCAGTTCAGATAAAGACCCTATTTTGACCTCGATTTCTTCGCCGCAGGCAAACTTTTGAAAAAACAGGCCAAAAAGGCAAAATTTTTGACCAAAAATCGCGTTTTTTCTTCGGTGCGCGCTCCCCCTCAAATTTAGCATATATTGACGCCAAAGTCGCCTTTCGAAGTAAATTTAAAGGTGCGTAGCCAAAAAATGGATAACTCAAAATAGTACAAAGGGGGACCCTTTGGGTCAGCAGGGGGTCGAATCCATTAGGGAGAGGCCTTCCCCCCTTTAAATCAGCTGGCGGGCTGAATAAAGCTTTTAAGCAAAAAGAAAAAGCAAGGAAAACATAGACGATCAGGGCCATTAATTTTACAAACTACAGGAGTAAATCAAAAACTCTCGCATTTACAGTCAAAATTACTGACAGCGAAAGATAATTCGCCGATTTGACAAATTAACCGACAAAAATTAAGCATACAAACGAAAATCCGACAATTCAATCTTTTCCCAGATTTTTTTTTTTCAATTTCACACATACTGAAAAAAATAAGGCCGGTTGGGACTCGGACCCCCAGACCTTAGAGTACAAAGGTAATGACCTTTAGGCCAAGTGGGAATGAGTCTCGCAGTTGCTCAGGTTCACTAATAAAGCAACATCATAACTTCTTCTTCTATTACTTACAGTCTAACCTGTACGAAAATTCGTTTACGGGGAAAAATTGTAGTTCCCGATTAAAAGACACTTGCTCTCCCAAGTGTAATGAGGCCAATTATTGTTTTGTAAAACACTTGCAATATGGTTACAGATGCCAGTATAAAAACCTACGTCGCTGGCCAAACGGTGTGAGCTACGTGGTACGGTTGTCGGAAGAATTGTTCGTTGGCTTCCAGACGACCTTGAGTTTTCATTGAAAAATATCGTTTGCTTGCGCCGCATAAACAAAATAGCCGCTCTTCAAAAGCATATATTTGAATCATAAACCGTCCACATCAGATAACGGAAGTCTATTCCAAAAAATAAGGTGGCTTACAAAGAGTAGCAACAACTAACGCATGATCCTCCTGAGCAGACAATCGAAAAATGTTCGGGAACAGCTGATGTCAAATGATCATTTCTGACACACACCTCATATTGCTTCAATAATATGCAATCAAACTCAATTACGAGATTAAAAACTCCTATGTTAATTAAATGCAAATCTATTCAAGTTATATGGTAGTAAGAGTAGTGTGAATTTTCAAAATAATCTGTCAAATAAGCATCTTTTTCTGATGTGCTTCTCAATGATGGTGTCCTTTCGTCCTGTGCAAATAAGTTTTCTCGATGTAATCGTTGACCTCGTGTGGCTCTACCTCTGGCACCTCCACTTTCGAGTGGTCTCCAGGTCTGAGGTAGATGAACCTCCTGTCCGGAATCATGTTGTACTGGACTCTGTTGACTATGACAAAACATGTGCCATATACTGCCAGTAATCCCACAAACAGTCTGTGGATCTTGTGCTTGTGGATGTACTTGGGGTATGCCTTGGGCATTAGTCTGGTCATCACAGACCTCTGGGCATCCACGAACATCTGAACTATCGGTGTGTACCGAGGCATCAACTGAAAAGCAAGTGCTACGGAACAATTTTTCAGAAACCTAATTCAGAAACCTAATATTTCAAAATGATATTTTTTGATTATGTGTCAAATACCACATAAAAATAAGTCGGTTTGTACACCAAACAAAAAGAAAAGTTAAACTCCGCCGGATAAGACTTTCTGACATTTCAATTGAACGCCAGTGTTGTCAGCTACTTATAAAGTTGCATATTAACTGAGGACACCGTTTGACGAGGACTTTGAGTTTCATCTATTCGGAAATTATTAACAAATCAAATCAGCCTGTAACATAATTTCAAAACGAGCAGGTTTCCAACCTCAACTGGCTCTCTGGCACTGAGGTACTGATCCTTTTCGAACCTTCTGTTCCAGTATCGCTCTTCCAGCTCCTCATTAGTCCAGCACCCAGTCCGCACGAAAGCCTTGGCCGGCTGCAGGTAGGTCTTGTCTTCTGGCAGTTTCACAGGAGGGGTCTTCCATTCACCCTCAAATGGATTCATGCTCGCCATTTTGTCCTGAAAAAAAAAACAATTTAAGAAAAACTTAAGCAAAAATATTTTGATAATTTCCGGACAAATCTATATTTCAAGAAGTCTGAAACGTTTCTGCAGTAGATTGATAAACATTATACATTTCAGAAATAGGCAGCAGGCTAATTTCTGCGGCACGATGAAAAAAGAAATCGCACCTAAAAGCACAGTAATAGAAATGCGGCTATAAGTCGTATAGAACAGAAAACCTTCAATGAGCGCAGGGCCTCAGTTAAGCTCATTTTACCATTTTCCCGGTAGTCAAAATGGCAATTGCATCAATTAAAAATGTAAATCCATTTAAGCGCAGACGCAAATCGGAGCTTCGCATCACTAGCGGAGCATAAACATAAGGCCAACGTTCTAAAGAATAATTGGAAAAGTCGAAAAAACTTCTACACACTTCCAAAAATGTAGAAACAATTAATGGAAAAGGTTTCGAACAAAACATTAGCTCATTTTCGCTGACTTGCTGAATTAAAAAATCTTGGATTCAAGACAATTAAAGCTCAACTTTTTAGGATTTTTTTCGATGATTGCGTCAAGGTAAGGAATTTACAACCAGGTTGAGTCTCTTTTAATAATTAAATACCAAAAACTGTACGCTGCAACACCTAAAAATGAAAACAGTCAGATGTTTTTTTTTTCATTTCGTCAGAAAATAGCCGGTTTCCAGGACTGTTTTACAAAAGCTGCTGACCAAAAAATTCATCCAAACTCGAATTCAAAATTCATTTCACAGTCTTCAGTAAAAAATAGCATCATAAAAAGACGACTTTCAAAAACCTCCGACTTTCCATTTTTTCAATTAAAAAAACTAAAAAAAAACAAACTCTAAACCAGGATAGCCGTTTACTAAGCAAGTAGCATAAAATGTTCCGACTATAGTCTTAAAAAAACACAATTTTTTTTTCAAATTAGTGTCGCTTTTTCTGGGTGGTGTGTAAAAGGATGTGAACAACAAACTTAAATTAGGCATATTCGAAAGTCCGAAAGCCACAGTAAAAAAGGCAAAAGGAATAACACTTTTTTAAGGAAAAATGACTAGAAAATCAAAAAAAATCATGAAAATATCTAACAAATTTCACAGAAATTTTGAATTTTTAAGTTTTTGGTTCCAAAATGAGCGTTGAAAAAACTCCTAAAACTGACTTTACTAGCTCAAAATTGCTTTCTTACTAGTTGTCTGACTTGCTATTTTTACTTGGTGGTTTTAACTGCTCGAAATTAGACGAAAAATCAAAAACTCCAAACCAGTTTTTCTGAACACTCAGATATTTTTGGAATTTTTTTGTGGTTCGAGTCACGATTAAAGACCTTCAATATGATATATCACTCAAGCCAGTCCGATGATTATTTGCGGTACACGACTTTGCGGGGAAAACAAAAAAAAACAGTGAAAAATAAGAAAAAAAACTTAAACACACCCGAATACAAAAGCATCCCCAAAATTGGAACAATAATTTCCACCAAGCACTGCTGCAAAAACAATTCACAGGCTATATCTAAGCGTTCGAAGCAATTTTCAGCGAATAAAGACTAGACAAAAAAAGTCATTAAAACACAGAGTCGAAGTGGAGATTCGCGCCACTAACGATACAACACAAACATAAAAAGTTATGAATAGAAAAAAAAAGCTAGACAGAAAAAATGTCTACACAGAAAAATTCTTTGAAAATTTTTTTGATTTTAAGCAGAAAAATTATTTGAAAAATTTTACCACTTGCGATGCAACACAAATATAAAAAAGTCAAAAAATTTTAGATGTTGAAAAAAAAACTAGGTGAACGATAAAAAAAAACAACTACGGGCCCAGCTAAAGCAGCAGGTACGTGTTTGATATTGCATGAATTTGCTAAACTGATGCGGCACCAACAATTTAATTTCAAAAATTGGCTTTGCCCAAACCCTTACTTATTTCTCTACTAAAATAAGTCAGAAGAGAAAAAGTTTTTGAGATAACGAATTTTCCCGAGGAGATAAAAATTCTCTGAAAAAACTAAGGGAGTCACCGCTTCTGCAGAAACAATTATGACAACAGAATTCTTTCAATAGAAATTTTCATCTCAGATTTGATTGAGTGAATTAAGGAAATTTCAAAAAACCTAAAAAACGGTCAAAAGTTCTAAAAAACGATCGAAAGACTTTCCAAAATCCATAACTTTTTTATGCAACAAGCCTGTTGTGGCCGCTTGAGCAGAGAAGATTCCCACAACCGGGTTTCTTGATTGAAAATAAATCTGAGAATTGGCCCGGTATTTGTCGCATAGTCAACAAATTTCCAAAAAACTATCGAATTTTCAAAACTTCGACTTGTTTGAAGGCAATAAACTTTTTTCTCAAACAAACTGGGCTTTCAACAAACTGTTCTTTCGATTTAAACTATATCAGATTTGGCAGGATAGCTATCGAGAGAAGTACAAAAACAGTGAACAAATCAAAAATTTGTCCTTCCGAGAATCATATAGGTTTGAGTGAAAAATAGGGCGTAGCCGCTTATAGAGAAGGCATTCACGCAACCTATTATTTCGATTGATCCCATAAATTAGGATTTGAGAGGGTAAAACGGGAAAAAAAACAGTCAAAAAATCAAAATTTTGATTTTTACGAGGAATATAATTTTACCATCGTCTTTTCCTAGCTTCGCACTTTTTGTAATACAGCGCAAATAAATCAGGCCAAGCTAGCTGACAAAAAAACGCAAGGCACAAACGCGAGAAAAACCATAGGAAAAAATATCGAATAAACACATCTACCATAGTTTTCATGTTTGTCACTTTTGAGAAAACAAGTTCAATTGAGAATACAAATCGAGAAACAGAAACAAACTAGCCAGTTTTGCACTAATTCAAAGTCGTAATAGCTAAGTCCTCAAATTCCGAGTAGACGTCCGTTGATCCGAAAAAAAACAGTGGTCATAACTCATGCAGTTTCAACCAATTTATACCTTCTCCGAAGCAAACATTTATCTACAAAAGTTTAGTTTCGCTTTTCAAACGCTGCAAAATAAGGCAGCTAATCCGATACATAGAACAGAACAATTTAAGTCAACTTTCCAGTGATAAATGAAAATGATACTAAATCGGAGCTGGTAAATTTATGACTTGACAAATTTACGGAAACCAAAATGACATTCAATGGTAGTAAAAATTAGTGACTCCAAAACCAAAGTACAAGATGTGAAAAACAACCGACCAAAAATAAGCGGACGAATGAGATGGACAAACAGCAAAAATTAGCTGTAGAAACTTGATATGCTAATAAAGCAAATTGATGAACTCTGAGAACTAAGATTTTACCGGTCCCGGTTGCCAAACGAGGTCTGCTGCGATTATACACCAGTAGCATTGCAGTAGCTGGGCTGCAAATCAAGTCTTTCAGTTTAGTTTTTTGATGAACTAGTTGTTCACAAGAAAATTTTCTACTACCAATTTGAAAACGCTTGTTAATGAAAAAGTAAAAATGATAAGAAAACACATTGGACTCAGCGAAACTTCACACCACTTGCGATACAATACAAACATAGCATGACAAAATAATCGACAGAAATAGAGATGAGATTCGTACAAATATAATGTTTTCTGGAAACAACTAAAAAATGTTATACCTTTGTCTTGAATGAAGTTCCTTTCAAGTAAATATGCAAGAAGGACAGATTCAGCAAATAAAATTATAGTGAGATTAAGATTGTGAGCTTAAATCAAAGTCTAACCGGTGAAACATAAAATTGAGCATGAATTTAATTTTTTCCTGAATGTATGAACTAACTAAGTAAATAAACATGACCTAAAAAAAGTAAAACTAACACTTCAAAATAAAAAACCAAAACTAAATTGATTTATAAGTTTTTGTTTCCGATTACAGTGCTGATTTAAATTAACCGGGCAAAACGCGTTAAACTTGAAATTTAAAACACGTTTTTCTCAAATTGGGTTGAGTTTAGGTGAAAACTTATGAAGACAAAACTTGCTTAAAATTTTAGCAGAATTAATATGGTGTAATTTGTTTTGCGAAATTCGGGCCCAAAATTTTACCCCAAAAATGGGTCATTTTGGCTTTTCTTAGTTAATCAAAAATTAAGCCAAAAATACCCAGTCGATCACAGACATGATTATATCAAAGTGAGCCCCTTACGTAGCCCAACAAACTTTAAGAATAGTATAATCTCCAATACATTGTATAAGTTAATTTATTTTTGTTTGATAGACAAAAAAAGTTCGTTTTTACATAAAATACCAACGTTTTATTTAAAAACAATTTTTAAATGATTTGCAATTTTTTTTGGAGAAAATACCCTTCTTAAATATTGTTGGCCTACGTAAGGGGCTCACTTTGATATAATTATGTCTGTGATCGACCGGGTATTTTTGGCGTAATTTTTCATCAACTAAGAAAAGCCAAAATTACTCATTTTTGGGGTAAAATTTTGGGTCCGAATTTCTCAAAACAAATTACACCATATTAATTCTGCTAAGAGTTTAAGCAAGTTTTGTCTTCATAAGTTTTCACCTAAACTCAAACCAATTTGAGAAAAACGCGTTTTAAATTTCAAGCTTAGCTCGTTTTGTCCGGTTAATTTAAATCAGCACTGTATCACCATAAAAAAGTGAAATCAACATAAAGTTCTTAACTTGAACATTCTTTTAAGATTGAAACATTTTCAAAAAAATTACATAAACTGAGAATAACAGGAAAAGCCTCAATTTGCAAACACAAGTCAAAAAATAACTTTATACACAACTAAAAAAGCAAGAAAATGCAGAAAAAATGTCTTGAACATCAACCTTACAATATCCTAACTTACTTTTACACTAACTATATCCTAAGCGGATATAACTGAAACATAATGCTTTCGTTTTCGTTTGGGATTTAACTTTTCATAATTTCGAATCGACCTAGTCATGTCTAAATTTCTCGCGACAACTGAAAATCAGAAGTCGAAAACAGAAAAACGGAATTGAAAATTTTGCTACAATACATTGAAAACGCACAAACATTTTGTACACGTACAAAATAAAGAATAAATGTACAAAAAACAAATGAAAGAACATTATAATGTCTACTTTATTATCAATAGCATAGATGAATAGTTGAGCAGCTCATTAGATAATTTTTAGGAAGAAATTTTCAGTTTACTTTTAACAAGAATACCGAGAGGCTATGCTACTGGAGAAGCGCTATGCCAGAAACTCATCATATTAGCAACTATTTTTAGCTGTTATTGTTGTTTGTGGAGTATAAACTGCGCATAAGAAAGTGGTCTCGCATAAGATGGAATAAGACGTAGTGGTTGATAAACATAGTAATTGCCAAGGTCACAGTCTCGTTCCAGTGGGAGTAGCAGAACAGAAGCAGACACAGCTGGCCCAAGATGGCAGACACGTGAACAAACAACACAGCCGAATGCACGGACAACGGGTGTGCGAACATCATCTATGAAAACAACTTATCCAATTACATTAAATTGAAATCACTAAAGCAAACTGCAATCCTCGAATTAGGACACAGAGACAAGGAAAATTTCGATAATCTTGTCAAATAACTGAGACTAAAATCTAACCAGCAGTTCAATCTTTAAGCGTCATTTCAGCTCTGGCTTCTGATTTAAACTTTAAAAACTTCAGGTAAGACGAGATGAGGAGCGCTTAGTGGCATCATATCAAACTCTTAATTAGAACCTAAATCAGAAGCCAGAATTGGCTGAAATGGATAGGTGAGGCGGTACATGAGGTGCGGCTAAAAAGACCCTACACAATACTTACCACGGCATCTTAGGAGGTGATGACAACAAATGAAACCTTTTTCAACGAACAGTGGCGCACTTACGTAGAATTTTGCATGCTGACTGTTCGCAGGCTCTGCAGCTGGGAAGTTACTGGCTGCACAATATATCCTATTCCCGTATATCACCATGGCTCCCTTTTCAACTGTACCCGAAGGAGACCACCTAAAATAGAAGTTCAACAATCAAATAAGGTTGCGAAACCTAGGAATTAGGGCAAAAAAGAGCAGATGGTTGCTGAAGCAAAGAAAGTTCCAACCCCTTGCTGTAGCAAAACATTACTAAGAACATAGAAGGTTGGAAAAGTTTTAAAGCACGGAAACCAAAAAAAAAATTGATTGAAAAATAATCGAAAAATAATAACATATTCAAGCTCTTTGAATTTCAAGAAAAATTTATAATTGAGAGTTTATTAGCAAAAAAAATAAAAAACTGGATCATTGGACAAACTTTTTAGACCAATGAAAAATCTAAAAACCACAATCCATTTTCGAAACTAAAAGTCATTCTCATCTTTTCGCGCGATTTTCGTTTCATAGTTGAAAAGCTGTTAACCTTGCTTTAAGCAAATGAATTTGAATTGAACTCAAAATTAGCATAGATATCTAAGTGCATTGATAAATGCACTAATATGAATGAATTAACTTTTTTTTTGTTTTCAGAGCATGGAAGCATTTTTCCTGAAAAAAAAAACAGAATTATCAAGACCCATGTAAATGAAAATCACTTCGTTATTTTACACCTTGAAATCACAGCCAACACAGCAAAAACTGATAACAAAACTAATTTGGTCATTCTACTACAGTTTTCTTCAAAAACAAAAAATTTAATCGGCTTTTTTGTTGTTTTTTTATTACCAAGAATGAGCTAATTGAAGCTTAAATAAAAGCTTTTCGTGCTATTATAACACCTATAATAACCTAAATAATAGCCGAAAATAGCTCGACCAAAAAGCTCAAAATTCAAACTATTTTTTTCGACGCTGAAAAAACGTTTTTTAAACTTTAAAGTCGATTGATTCAGAAGAACTGAAACGGGTTCAAATAAATAACAATCAACCCACTCTGATATTTAATTGTGCGGTTGCTTTTGTGTGGAAGCAAAAAAAACTTGAAAATACATGAAGTTCCTCGCCATTTTTAGTGGTCGCAAGAAAAATTACTTATTTAACTTTTTCGATGCACATTGAATTATTTCTTCTCTGACTGAAAAGCCATTTTCTTAACTAATAAGAAAAAAACAAATGACGAACTCTACAGTCATTTGAAAATTTAAAATGCATTAACTTTTTACTATTCAAATGTCAAAGCACATGCTATCAAAAAGCCGTAAAGTGCCCCGAAAAAGGCACCAAAATTTGCAACTAGGGTAGAAAAAAGAATAGTCGTAGTATAGCACTAATGCTCACTAGGGTTCGCTAGTGTAAATAAGAACGACTGTCAATTGAAATTATTCAAATCAGAAGAGAAATCCAAGCTTTAGAAATTATGTCAACAAAAAGAACGGACGAGGGAAGTTCGAGAATTCAATTTTTCCCAAAAAATTGAACATACTGAAAAAAAAAGGTCCGATCGGGAATCGAACTCTGGACCTCAGGGTATAAAGGCGCTCGCGTCACCTCAAGACCAAATGAAGAGGATTCTGGAAAATATTTCGGTAAAATAATGAAGCAAGTTATTCAAGCAAGTTATTCTCGACTTCAAGTCGCTTGCTCGTTCCTGATTACAGGTCACATTTCAAAGTACAAAAAATTTCTAAGTATCTTTGCAAGGTTTAACAATCGTATGTTAGCCCGAAGAAAGCATGGAAAGTCGTAAAACTCCAGTCAAAACTTTAAAATTAAATGTCGAATTTCAATTTGAATAAGTTTAATTTGAAGAAAACACGACACGACTAACAATTCCGAGCGTTAAATTAGAATTAAGACGAAACTTACCAAGCAGCAACTTAGCCAACAATGCTTAGGCAGACGCACAATTAGCCAAAAAAAAATGGAATAAACTTGATACCGCAAAAAAATTGCATTCTAAAATGATGTTATAATCTGAATCTTCAAGTACATGATGCGGGATCATCAGCGACAAAAACTCAGAGATACGATAGTCCGAATTGAATTATTAAACCGCTGAAAAATTAAAGTTGGCAAAAAGAACAGGTCCCGTCCCGCCCGGAATCGACCCCCAAGCATTTCTCCGCGCACGCATGAGCAAAAGTTCTGTGCCAAATGAGCATCGTTCTACAAGGCGAATACATTATTACGAAGCAAGTTTTAAATTTATTATTTAGGGAGTTCAAGAATGTACCTTCTTACGTGCAAATTATGTGAACATAGTTCTTACAGGAAAAAGTCAAGTGGCCGGGTGCAATACCCTTGCTAATCGCAAAAGTAAACAACACTATAATTAAATATCAAAGTCTCGCGTACTCAGTGAAGCCTGCTTTGCGTGCTTGTAGTGCCATATCCTTGTCTGCTTTGCCAGTAAATTGCAAGAAGTCTGGGATCACAACCTGGAAAAGAATCGAGAAAAAGGATGGATCAGTCTGTGCTAAGTCCTGCTGGTCCCCTTCCCTTCGATATCCCGTAGAAGCCGCCAATGAACAAATTGAGCTGTGATTCCCCTTGGACTTAACACTATTTTCTTCGAATAACCTCCATATTCCCAGGTGCAGTGCACAAGAGTATAGCTCATTGAAGTAATTTGCGGGCATGAAATGGAGGAACAGCAGCATCATTGTTGTCTCGAAGAAGAAAACTGCTTCTAATAGAATCCATGTCAGATCGTAGATCAGATTCTCCTGCATAAAAACTCCATGTTTATCAATGCATTAAAAAGTTTCTTAGTATATCCAGATTGGGCTTGCTAATTCAACTCCACCCGAAAAATACTGTGATCAAAGCTAGCTACTTCACGGTCTTTTTTCCACTTAATTTAAGCTTTTCGCAAATGCTTCAATCTCTGAAGTTTAACTTTAAAAAAGTGAAGTTCAAATCACAGAAATTTTCTTCGTATGACGCATTCGTGATCGCAAAAGAAAACGGGATAATAAAAGCAAAATTTAACAAGAAAAAATATCTCACTGGAATTAGCACAATTGGAATGAGTCCAATATAATATGTGTATAATGCTGACAGAGCGACAATCAATTGGAATTTGGCCCAGCTGTCGCTCCAAAACACCTTAGCCTCACTACGTATGTGTTTCGTGTCTGAATTGCACACATGTCGCATACCAAATATCGTGTAGCTGAAAAAAAGAATTGTCAGGAAAAAATAATTCCTCAAAATTTTCTTTAATGAATTGAAAAAATTATCCACCTGTCGATCTTCGGAGAGTTTTCAATTTGTGAGAGTATTTTGCTCGTGGTACTAGCATTGCCCTGCAGAATTGCACTGATTGTTGACTTGAACAAGACGCCCAACACCAATCTAATAGATTACATAATTCGATACTAGTAGTTTACTGTTGAATTACTCAAAAAAGAATCGTTAACACATGAACTCTTTCAAAACCAAGTAAAATTTTTCTTTTCAACCAACTATTTCCTATAATATAGACATCACAAAAAGTTCAATTTAAGAGGTAGTTTGCTACGTACGTGTAATCAATGCACTCACGGATAGACAAGGAAAAGAGATTGCCATATTTTCTGTGCCCGAACCAGTTCTAGAATGCAGAATGAAAGACATAAGGCGATGATTACAGGCAGCAACAGTAAGGCCAAGCATTGGACCCACGGGCTGTCGATGAATTTTTCGTCGCACGCAATGGACAACTGCAATAGAAAAGACTGAAATTATAATCAAGATTGAATTCCAGCAAGGTACTTGACCAAATGTTTAATTAATTCGCGAAGGCCACAAAGCGATTAATCGAGACCAAGTATTACCATCGACCAACTATTGACAGCCATAGAGCGACTAACTGAGACCAAAAATTACATAGGGGCGAAGCGGAGTTTCGCATCACTTGCTATACAACGCAAGCGCAGCATTGCAAGCTAGCGATTAGAAAATGAGACGAAAACTACGAAGTCGATAAACTCTTGGGAAAATGAAAACAATTTCAGACAAACAGTCAAAAAACACAACCACCAGTGTTAAATAAGCTTTTAGTATTTATCGAGCGGCCACTAAGCCGGCAACAACGAGGTAGACGCCCATTGAGCAGAAAACAAAAAAAAACGCCATAAAAAATTGTTGTCATAAAAAACTTAAAAATTTTGAAATCTAGCAAAAAAACTGCCTGAATTTGGGGAAAAATCATCATTTTTTGCCTTCGACGCGACACAAAATACCATAAAAAAGCAATTAAAAACATCAGCCGAAACCATTTAGGCCGAAAACTTTTAAGCGAAACAAAAAGGAAAACTAAGAAAAATACACAAAGTCAGGGCTTTTAATTTTACAAATAACAGGAGCAATGTAGAACACAGAGGCAAAGCCGTGCTTTGCATCACTTGCAATGCAATACAAAACATCCACTAAATCGAAACAAAAATCGGAAAAAAAATCTGAAATACCGAAACCTTATCAAAACGATTTTTAAAAAGTATCAAAAAGTCACAACAAGATAATACAAGGTAAACACAGAATCAGAAAAAAATTCACCAAGCTGTAAACCAACCAAAAATACCTGAGAGAAAACCATTTAAGCCGAAAAAAATTTAAAAAAAAAACTAAGAATCAAAAAAAAAAGTTTTATCCACCCATTCGCCTCAAAACACTCAAGCACACAAAACCTTTTTTTGGTCATCAAACGACAAAACATGAGGCCAATAGGCCGATATAAAATAGACCGAAACTTAACAACCCAAGAAAAAAAGAAAAAAAAATACGAAATTGAAAAAACCAATAAAAAGTTGTTAAAGCCCCATCCCCTTCAATACACACGCAAAAATTTTTTCGCTCATTTAACGACAACATAAGAGGTCAACAAGCCGAAACTAATTAAGCTGAGAAGAAACAAGTAAAAAACTAGCCAATCGAAGATTGGAAAAGAGTAAAGAACACAAGTAAATATTTAAAAAAAACACTGATTTCTTCAAAAAAAAACACAATATTCGAATTTCAAAGTAAAAAATGGCTGCCTTTTAAGCTCTTCGAATTTCTAGAAAAATTTATAATTGGCGCATTTTTGACAACCTGAACCCAAAATTGTTTTTGCATATTAAAGGTTCCAATATGAGGCCAATAAGCCGGAACTCATTTAACCGCGAGAAAAAGAAAGGAAATTTTTTTTAATGAAAATTAAAAAAATTGGCAAAATTACAACCAAAATAAAAAGCAAAATTCGAAAAGGAGGGATGGTAGCATGCTCAAAGTATGTCTGCTGCAGTTTCCACCAGAGAGACGACTGCTGCAGTTCAAGTTGCAACGTGCTGAAAATGGGTATCTTGAAATTGGAGATCATCCTGTCGACAGGTTGTAAACGGAAAAAAATCTAGTACCCGATTGCAATACCCTTGCTTATGGCAAGGGTAAACACTTGCATCTACGACGAAATATTCTGACAGCACAAAAAATTACCCGATGTGGCAAGAAAGTCGACAGAACAAGCTGACAAATGATAGTCCGACAATTCACTCTCGGAAAAAAATTTCAATTTCATACTGACTAAGAAAAACCAAGTCCGGCCAGGACTCGATCCCCAAACCTTAGGAAATTGTTTACAGAAAAAATTCTAGTTCCCGATTACAAGAAACTTCCTTTGGCAAAAGTAAACATCGAAATCGAAATGCGTTAAAACCAAAAAAAAAAACTAAAAAACATACCGATATTTAGAATTATTCCAGCCAGTACAATTTTTGCAAAAATTAACTTGTATAATTGCAACTGAGGGAAAGAGTGCAATCAGGCTGTCACTGTTGCCTCTTCTTTTTTTGCTTGGTTTAAGGAGCAAGAAAAGTCTTCCGATTTGCTAGCTCAGTGGAATGATAGATGATTTCAACGAAATGCTTATTAGATTTGTTAAGGAAGCAAGGCCTCTATTTTCGAGGCGATGGAGATGAATAGTTGTCGTTATCAGCGTCCTGTTTTCCCTTTCTTGCTTGCTTTAATTGCGTTTTCAATGACCGATGTCCCTAAAAATGTTATTTCGTGGTTGAGTTTTTGAATGTCTAGTCGTGCTGCCTTTGGTTTCAATTGTTGATAACGGATGCTGGCTATATTAAGGGTTAAAGCGCATGAGTTGGTCTGATGAGTTCCCTGCAGTGTTACCAGATATTGATTTTACAGTCTTGCAGAAAACGAGACTTAAGCTTCGATAGTCCCGAGGGATGACAATTCAATCCATTAATCGCGCTTTTGTTTATTACAATGTCATTGATCAGCAAGACTAATTGTGATTCACCAGGCTAGTTGTAATGGAGTTCGCCCAATTTTTGGGATAAATTAGCAGCTTGGGTGAAAAAATTAAGTTGGAATTTTTTGATGCAGCACTAGAATGTGCCAATTCGCAGCCTTTATAATTCTTTGAAATATAGCTCCTCCTTGAAGCAATTTTTGCGAGGTTCACAATTCTCAATTCTCATCTCAAGCTAAATCAGTCGATTACCAGAATCCTTGCCAATCTGCAATTCAGAAATTTACGAATGTTCTATTGGATATACTTTTTGAGTTAACATCACAGTTGAGTTCTAATTGGACTGATTGATGGTCTACTCCGAGGCAAGGCGCAGTCGACCATTTGAAACTCAATGCTAAGGAGAAGCTGTCTAAGCTGACATCTGGATGATGTGCATTGAAGTCATTAATCAATATTGAATCCTTGGTTTTGAGGAGTGGACTGATTGGAGAGTAAGGGTTAAACCTGTACAGCAAGAGTTCGGGGATTTAAATATTGGTAATGTTAGTGTGCGAATCGCCTGACAAGATTTTGATTCAATCAATTCGAATGCGTCGATTATTCATTTTTACTTTTAGATAATGGTAATCGATGTTGTTTTAGTCGAGAATGCTAAACCGCCACCTTTCTTCCGGATAGTTCTCGATTTCTGCTAAAGAAGGCTGTGGTGGTATGCATACCGAGTCGTTGGCTTAGTTAATTTCTCGAATGGCTTTCACTGAATTGTGTTGTGTGGGTCTTTTTTTTTCTTCCTAAAACCATGTTAGTGGTTGGCAACTCAGTGGTTTCGGCGGGGAAATTAGGTTTGATCTTTTGATTCAGCCGTGAAAAGTTCTATTTAGCAGCCTTTATGATTTTTCGGAATGTAGCTTCTCCTTGAGGCAATGATTTGGTGTGCTTTTCTCGAAAACATTTTCGGTCGATTCCCTTTATGAATATTCTATTGCTTCATGGTCCGATCCTAGACAAGAGGCAGTAGTTCAGTTAATAATGATTGCTAAAGAGGGGCTAGTTAGGTTTATAATTGACGCGCTTTCATTATTAATCAGTCATCCGTTAGCTCCAAGACCCAGTGTGAATGATGTGCATTGAAGTCACCCAGATTAATGGGTCCTCAAAATAGAGTTAAGTGATTGATGGTATGTAACCTGATATGCAGCTTGAGCTGCGAGTAAAATATATTGATTAGGTCAAAGTGTGAATCGCCCGGCTTGACTTTATTTTAATTCCGTCCATTTCAATATATAGAGGCACTTAGCATAGTAGTAAGGCGTGCACTTCGAAATCGTCAGATCGTGTATTCGATCCCATGCCATGGCTATGATAGTGTGAGGACGAGCTCTCACTTGACCTTTAGCTTCAGGTCTACCACAGCCTGAACAATTTCGGCTGCAATAGTGGTACCACGTGAAAGTTCTAGACGCAAAAAAGACGGTCTTGAGTCGCAAAACAATAGCTTCGTTCACCAAAATAACGGTCTGGAATGTGGTGAGATAATACAAATGGACTATCCTCGACAAGATTGTTAAGGCCTACTGATAGCGATTCTCAGATAGATCCTTTGCGATTCGCAGGAACTACATTCCATCATTAAAAAATTTAGGTAATTCGTTTCTGCTGTTAAATATTGGTTTAAAACTTTTGATATTTAACCAGGACTGCTTAACTGCCACTTTTCTTTTTAGATAAATGTCAATTTTTGATAATTAAAAGGAAGGCTGGGGTGGTGTAGATATTGAAATGGTGGTCAGGCTCAAATAACACGTGGAGCAGACGCAGATCGCGGTTGCTTTCTACACCGGCTTTGATGCTCATGGTTCCGTTAATTGTACCACGAGGATCGTAAACGAACGAAGAGGCTGGTTTTACCCGTTCCTACTGCAAAATCAAGAGTTGGCGGAGCATCACTAATTGCCTTCAAACTATCTAATAATAAAACTATGTAAATCAACCGGGTCGTCCAGAGAGCAAAATTATATACAAAGACACAGAGACAAATCTTCGCTTCGCAAACACTAGAAAGAACACAAAAAGCAGCTCTATAAGATGCAATAAGAAAAAATAGAAATAAGCCTCGAATTAGTAGAAATTCGTCTGCGTCACGGATTTGATCTTCAAACTAGAGACTATAACTCACGCACTAACCACTCAGCCACGGACTCTTAATAGGTCACAAACACTAGCCGCAAATAAATCAGAGAACAGATGCTATGAAATTTCCAATGCTAAAAATCGTGATTATAGCAAAAGTGCCACTAAATAAGTGAACACTTATATTTGCGAGTTACGTTAGAAAAAGAGAAGGTTCGTACTAATACACTACGCTTCGCACGCTCGCAAGTCCAAAGAACCACTCACTCTTAATTGTTCCTGCATTCAGAGTCTCTTCAGCAACCTAACAGTCCGAAATATGGACGATAGACCCTCACTTCGATTTAAAATGGT